ATGTATATAAATTGTTTTATTCAAAATCTTGAACACATTCCAAATTTGATGATTTATACCTTATGAAGCAAAATTTTTCATACTATGAATGTACGACTGAGAAGTGAGTTTCTTCCGATGTCAAAAAAAGAACAAATTGAGTGATTCTATCCCAGAACGGCCGAATCGTTGCATTCTGAAGTGTCTTATTCATATTTTTAATATTGTTAAAAATTCAATGCAGTTATATATTAAGATGATCGAAATATTCGAAAATAATTTCACCATTCAGCCGTTAAATTCCCTATTAATTAATTCGGTAAACATAATATGTTATCTGATAAGATGGGATGTGCTTCAGGATTAAGAACCTCAAGACTGGAGTCACAATATCCCCTCGGATGTTTCATCTTAATAATGTTTTGACGAGGCTGTATGAATAATTCTTTATTATAATACTAAAGTGGCATTGTATTTCCAAAATTTACTGACGACGATAGTTTAAGATTGGAAGAAGTATAATTAATCTATAGGATCTCACTATATTTGTGTGTCGAAGTGTGAAAGGCGAAATAAATTTTTATTTTCTTATTGCATAAGAAACTTGCGATCATATCGTTACAGTGCATTAAAAATTGTAATCACATCATACTGAACTATGATATACGACTACATTTCGAACATTAATCATGAGTGGAACATCGAATATGATAATACAAGTATCATCTATTAGTATGATTATTAAGATCGCCGAACCATATTCGTGATTCCGTTTTGTAATTGTTGAGAAGTACATTTTACATGTGTTCGTGTATATCAAACAAGTCTGAAGAAATCCAAAGAACACGAATAAATATGCACAACTTTGATTATTGGTGATTATAATAGTGAAATTGATTAGGAAACAATCATTTTCAAGCGAACGTGATAATAGGAGTATTGTTTTTTAATTGCAGTGGATTGTATGTGAACATTGATCGTTGATAATCTTTTTTGTGATTACTGGTAGGAATGCAATTAGTTTCGATAGTACTAATGAAGTTGTGGGGTGGGTTAAGTGCATCAATAATTTTGCTGATGTTCTCGGTTTGTAAATCTTTCATACGTTTCTGTTCGTCAACTTTATACCACAATCGACCGTCGTAATCGGTTCGATGTAAATTTGCGCTGAAATTACTCATCTCTTATTAAATCATCAGAATAATGTTTTTGCATGCTTCAGTTGCACTTATGTCAGTTATTGAACAAACAATTGAAACGCGCCCTAATGACTCGGCTTAATTCTACGACATTCCAGGATGATGAAAGGAAAGAGTGTTTGGAAGAGCATCTTTCAATTTTTTAGGTGAATGAAATTGACTGATGGTGAGTATTTATGTTGAACTAATTGAAGAAAATTGTTTGAATTACTTATTTGAACAAATAAACGATCATAAGAAAATGAATTAAATTGAGAACTGACGTTTCGGCGATAAGATTTTGCACTCGTGCAGCAAACATTTGTGCAGATTCATTAGGCCATCTCTTCTGAGGTTCAATATAAGAGACATCGTAAACGATAGCCCATGACGTTAACACTCGTAGAAGATATCTCCAGAACTGATCTTCGTACCAAAAAGAGTCCCCAAATCTTGCATCTTGCCTTCAGTTTAAATCCATTCGTTTCAATATGGAACAACTCATTGTTATCAAGAGAGTAATGTACTATCGATCATAGATCGATGTGTTTTTACTGAAACACATTTCATATTGATCAGCTTTTCAACTCATTGTCAGAATTTTATTCATATCGCTGCAAGTAATAAACCGCAGAAACTAATCAATGTCATACTTGATTGCAATCGGGTATATTGTTATACCATCCTCAAAGATGGCTCTTCTAAACTGTAATACTCTGGTGTTATTGGTACAGTACCCTTCTGGGAAGAGCAGCACTGGTCCTCCACTCTAAATTCACGTCATTTAGAATTGAATAAAATAGGCATACACTAATCGCTCTAAAGGCGACGAACAAGTGAATGAAACTGACAATTGCCTCTCTCATGACGTCCTCTACGAACTTCTTTCTGCCATTCATATCACTCCTATCAAACCATAGTGCTCTGTTTAATCTCTCGCACAAACTTTCAATGGCCCATATAATACCAACATGCTTTTGACCTGTTACCGTATAACCAAATTCTGAATTTGACTGAACGTCTGAATAAAGTATCTGAATGTCATTTGGTGAGAGGTGATTCGACACAGCGATACCTGAAGCAGTAGTTTTATTGTTTTTCGGCATTACTTCCACTGATCATAATTTCTTTAACACTCATTAAAATTTTCTGTTTTCTCGTTCCTTCCAGTCGACTGATTGAAATGCTCAAAAAAACTTTTCACCGAATTATTTTAATTGACTAATGAATGACATTTGTCAAGATTCCTACTCAAAATCATTATGAATACTTATCATTTTCATTCGCAACTATTATCACTATTTCTATTCGTATCAAGTAATGAAGTGGTGAATAAACCTGGTTGTTTCGGTCGAAATTGAGTGTTACGATAAGTGGCAACCAGACCAATTCCAGCCGAGAACAGACGGCAATAAGTAACAGCAATAAAGGTTTTCTGTTTCCTTGTGAACGAAACAAAAAACGAGATAATGACAGCAATTGAGACGTATGCGAATGATGTCAGTATGAAAGCAAAACGTATTGGCAATAGGATTGCGTAACGAAATAATACCAATGCATAGTATAGCAACAGATGGGCTCGAGAAATCGTTACTTGCTCGTCCGGAAACGGTAGAATGTCGGGTCGTATTAGAAGGGTGGTATGCAACGATGGTGCTCTATCGAATGCAACGCTTATATCATCCTGAACTTGTCATGTTTTGCTGTTGTATCTCACTGGTATCTTGTGCAAGTCACAAGAGTTCAAGAGTTCATAACGATAATCTAAATGAAGATAAACAAATACAAGAACATGTGCAATGAACGACATTAGAATTGTTTTTACTGACGATGAGTGATCAAATTTCAAAAAAAAGAGTGATGTGTTGTATCGGATTTTTTGATTGCTGCTAAAATTTCATCGTTAGATTTTGTACTTCTGATTGATTGTTCAGTACGCGCTTAGAATATTGATGTGTTCAAGTGAAAGTGTTTTTGAAAATAAGTAAAGTGCTTGTACACACTAACAGACAGCCGCTGCTAAGTTAAAAAACGAGGATAGTTAAACAGTTAACAGTTAAAACAGTTAAAAAAAANAAAAAAAACAGTTAAAAAATTGAAGCATTGTTTTTGGTGCGTTCGGCTTGAACTGCTTCGAGAAGTTTTTTTTGAGCTTTTTTTGAAAGGGTAAACCTTTGCGTGAGTAAATTCTTCATTAATTATGGCAGTTTTGGGGAAACAATGAACTGGGTGCGAACAATTTTCAAAAGGCTTTCGTGCTCTACAAATTTTGAAATGCTCAATCGAGCATTCAGTCTTAATGATAGAGTAAATATTAATTGTCGATTGATCAACATCTATGCTACTGCATGTGACTAGAGCCAGTGATTGGTGGTGATGACGATAGCACTGATAATAATACTGGTTATTATTATTATAATTGTTATTGCTGTCATTATTAACCACTATTCTTATTGGTTTTTTTGACGACATTCACATACGTGACGATAATGAATAATGGCCAAAAGTTTTGCTACGAAGCTACAATAATGAAAAAGTGATTCACTTGAGCGATTGCTTCCAATCCAGCCTTGAGAGCATCAGAGCAAACGTTGAATACATCTTTCGCAGGTACTGCACTGAAAACGAATTGCTGTTTCAAGTAATTCTTCTCATTCCCTTACGAATTCACACTTCAGTGCTTATTTACCCATTCATTTGTAATCGCATTGATTTTTGTCAGATTCAACAGCTAGATCGTTTCAAACCTGAACGCACCACCATACATTCCGAACATGAACAAACTGATTCAACGTTCTATTCTCATACTCTGAATTTTCCGCATGAAGCAGCATCTGTTCATCTATTTTTGCGTTATAAATGAAATTGCTCATCGCTTTTCGTTATGCAAACATGCGAATGTAAACAAGCTAATCGTCAGATTTCTGAGAATGAACAAGCGAAAATTTCCAAACATAATTAGCATTATTCGTTATGATGAAATCACAACAGGTGTTTTAGTGCAATAATGTCGTAATAATTGATTGNGGCAATGACGACGAACTGATGTCAAAAGCAATCATGCAAAGAGCAAAACTTCTTCATCGTTTACTGTTTATTGTCGGCTGACAATATTGAATGTTTAATAGCATCTCATCAACTTGACTGACTTGTTCATAGTCAGCTTGGACGTTCCGATTTCACGGAATCTTCCGTGTGCTATCCGAGAAATTCGTTATTCCGTTGAGAATGGAATATTTTATAAACTGTGAGAAATATGAGTCGAACTTTTTGATAACATTAAAGAAACACCGCTAAAAATGTTTTGCTCACTACAGGTCAGAATGAATTTTGAACTTTGGAATGATGTTACATCCTTTTGAAGTTGCTCGTGATTCGCAGAATTCCTGTTGCTGGTCTTTTCTTATAATCAGAGAAGCAATTTTCATTGATTTTATGAGACAAACATAAAATTTCATTGATATTCTGAAGATGGAAATCGCATTCGCTTTGAACCTGTTCTGTGAATCATTCATTCATCAATTTGCTCTTATGATTCCTTAGAATGGTTCGTTTTTATAACATAGTGACAAAATATCATGTCTGAGCTGTAAACGTCGGTTGAGCTCAAAAGTTTTAAAGTTTGAGTGTGCAAAGGAGTTGGGACGTATGATGGCAAGAAAATTTTGCATTGAGGCGATGGTGACACAATGCCGCATCCAGGGTGGGGCGCAGCAGATCATTTTTGGATCTTCTTGGGGAAAATCCTGGTGCCATTGGTGACACAAACTGGAAGAGGTCTATTTGTTGATCTCAAAACACGAAAATACTCATAGGTGTACTGCTCATCCATACAAGCAATCGCTGTTCTCGAAATTGTTTAGTCCAAAGCAATGAAAAAGTTGGAACGATATTTTATAGGGGTTTCAGACTCTAAAACCTCTATAAAATGGAGTTGTTCCAGTCAGACATAACAACTGGCAGGCTTCTGCGCTTCAGTACACTGAAATCACAGGCACGGGGACAAGTGACAGATATAGTGGTGGATTTCATCAAACAGCTGCAGGCCAACTTCAACTCCGGATTCGACAACTACTCCATCCCGAGGGACATCATCGCTTTCGTTCGTGACCCTCTCGTTGTCCGAAATGCGGATATATCCTCCCTGGCTAAAGAAACCATCCCCTCGTTGGATGANGCATTTCAGTTGGAGCTTATTGATTTCCAAACAACCTCTGTTGTCAGTGATGCGCTCAAGAAAGCAGAATCCGTGCATAATTTTTGGATAACATGCTCAGATGAGTACAGACGGACCAAGAAAATGTACATGTCGGCGACACACTTTTGGCCCGCCAGAAACTTTCGACATAGAAAATTCTCAGTATAATTCGAAGGCTTTTTTAGCCCTTCAAAATCAAATTCTCAAATTCATCTGGCGGGCCAATTTTGGCCCGCGGGCCGGGGGCTGCCGATCCCTGTTTTAGAGTGTGTATCTAAAGTACAACACTAATGCCTGCCAATCAACCGTTTTCGATTCGTTCATTTTATATCGTATTTTAAGATAGCGACTTTCGTACATCACCCTGACTCTGCTTGAAGTAAATCGATAACAGAAGTTGTGAAACAAGCAGTTGGATTTGTTAATATCAAGAAATGTAAGACATTATTACAGCAACATATGTTCATTGATCACTGAAGAGATAACTCTATTATTTGAAATCATTATTTTATATAAACTGATTGAATGGAACTCATTTGAGGATAGGAAACGATAGCAAGTATAGATTGTTCACCTGAATTTAAACGATGATAACGAATCATTACGATTTTTTTCGAGTGATGAAATTTGAGATCGTTCGATGGTTGCTGGCCAGGATTCGTGATCAGTTGATGCGTATTGTTGAGGGTAGAGATTTTGAAGGAATTTAATAAATTTAAGGTAAATATGTGGTAATGCACCCCAACTAAGTCCGAACAGAATGAGTAATAATGTCGGTGTAAAGATACCCAATAATAAACCAATGTAGACACCAAACAATGATACGATCAACATAGTCTCAAGCGATCTTTTAATGCAAATAATGTTCCAGTTGATCATTATTTATAATTCGCGTCAATATTTTAGATCATATACGTGACAAAAGTATTTGGTAATAATGAGAGAAGGAGATGTAAAAGTGATGTGTTCAATAGAACATAGCGTTGAACTTGGAGAGATTGAGAGATAGTTGATGTTTGAGCAGTCGACGCTCTAGGTGCATTATACACAATCCTCTAGTGTCATTCTTAATGAATGTCATCATGATGCTGTAACATTTGTAATGGCAGTTGTTAGGTGCATTCAAACACTTGCAATATTCATTCTCGAACTTTCATTTCATAAAGCAGCATTAACGATAAGCATTTGATTGGAACGAAGCAGCAGAATTGGTTGCATTCATTTATTGGGACTTCTTTATGTAATGAACAGTCCATGGGTAATTTATGACAGTTTCGTACAAGTAATCACTGGTGACGCTATCAGTTTTAACATAAGTTGAATATTTGCTTTTGCTGAAATCGCATTTTCTTTTTAAGGACACCATTATGAATATTATTTTTATTTCTCTCAATTTATATACATATTTACTCTGTGATTCATTTAGGTTTTTATGAGCTGGTCATGTCAGCGTGCCAACGCCTCCAATATAGACATTTAACGATGAAGCATTCAACTCCTGAAAAGGATTTTTTGTTATTTTATGGATATGATTTCAGGTTCAAAAAGTCGTTCGCTTGAATTTCAATAAATTGTGAACAGCAACATAGAATCAACGCAAAATATTAGAAAGAATAAATCTATTAAAAGAATAATAAAAAAATTTTTTTAAAAGTATAGTAAAAGAATAATATCAAACGAAAAATTNGAAAAAAAGAATAAATCAAAAAATAAATTATATATTTGAATCTCATCCATTTCTTCTCAACAAAGTGTCAGTCACAAGTTGCTTCCGGTGCTTTCTAAAGCAGTACAAATTAGTGTTGGGTCGGTGAGCACCGAGAAAAATCTTGCGGTTCCCAACACTAGTATAAATCAGGCAACGTTTCGACGGAATATTTTCTTATTGTTAGATCATTTTGTGATTAACAATTCTTATACTATTCCTGGTTCTAATAACTTTTTCTCTATTGCGCTCGAATGATATCTAGATTAATACTAATCCGAATTAATATCAGATTAATTTGGATTAATATTAGTTAATTTGAATTGAGAAATAGGTAGGTGATCATCGAAATTTTTGCAAGTTAAATAACGTTGCGTGTAGACTTATCAGTATCATGCTTTGTCAAGTGAACGAATGTGTGCTGATCAACGATGAATCATTGACTGAGATTCAACCTGATTTGTTTTTTGCGAATTCCATTCGTTCGCATATCCGTTTGTGACGTGTTCCGTTTTACCGAATTGAATTTCAGCAACACATCGCATAATATTGAACCATTTGTCTCGCGTAAATAATCTACTGCATTGTGCTAATGAATGTATCTGTTGTAATTCGGCCAACGATTGCGCTTTCACTATCGCCTCATAAACTTTTTTCTCTTTTATCAGCAGTTGACGCCAACGACCTTAAACTTTATCGGTTTATCTATTAGACACATTTATGAGGAAACGATTAAAAATGTCACAATACTCCTACATTTTTATCAGATGCATGTTTTTGGCATGTGCATCTTCTGATGTTGTAGCAGTTACCTTATTCTGAGTTAATCGTCACAATATTCAAAACCTAAAGTCATAGAAATGATCCCGTGGAGAAGACTTTCTGAAACATTGAAAAGGTACTGTCGCATTCTATCAAGCTATCCAAACGAACAGTTTTTATGATCAGCTCACATTACGCCATTGAAACAACATCTTCGAACCTCCAAAGCGCAACAGTAATATTTTTGGAGTGAAGAAATGCCAAGTAAATGATACTGAACATGTTATACTTACCAATCTCTTGTTCGGTCAATTTCCGAGGGCCAAATCCACGAATTTTTTCCGCACAATTAGCGAGTTGACGAGTAGTGTTAATTGTTTGCCCCTTACAAACACCACCTGAAAAGATTCTTATCAGAGTTTATTGCAGTCACATGCAGGTACTCGTTCCGATCTCTCAGTGAGCGAAAAAACTGAAGAATGAGGTCGATTTTGAATAATTTAAAATGATATTGAAATTATTGGTTGAAATTTATGTGAATATTGATAGTTTGATTGACAGGAGATTGTTTACTCAATGAGGCAGTAGATCGAGAATAGTGACGTATCGATTGGGGGATCACTGGGAAATTGTTTGGAGGGTAGTTTGATAAGACGAAAGTGACTGACAGGATTTTATTTTTCCGAGATTAAAAAATTAAGATTGATGAGCGATGCAATTGACGAATAGATATAAATGAGTAAAAATACGAATCATGCATAGCACCATTCCTTTTCATTTCATTTTTATGATTATGTTTGTCATAAGTTTATATTGATTTGAGCATGAGTATATCGATAATGAAATTGATTTTGAGTATAATGATATTGATATTGATTTTAGTTGAATTATTCTTTCATATGGTTCATATATTCATGTGGTTTTATTCTTTCATATGGTTTTTTACCCAAGTAATTTGATAACGAGAAAATGAAAATAACGATACACAGAATTCGTCACAAAAACTAAAACTTGCAGAAATGAAAAATTCGGTATGTAGCAATATATATTGCAAAGGCAAGAGGTAGTGTAAATCTTTTCAGGTTTTGTGCTCGAATGATTAGCATGGAATGAATCTGAGAATAATTAAAGTTTAAACCAGTTTTTAAGAAGTGAATGGTGGGATTGAATTCAGTGAATGCAGTCGAACTTATATTACGAACATTTTGCTCGTGAATAATGCGAATGTGCAAATACAACAGGTCAGCAGCATTAAACTCAGTGCTCTTCGAACGGAACAGTGAAAATGACCTTCTAAAGTCGACTGCGATAAACGATCGCCGTCAACGGTTGTCATCTCAGCACATCGATATATTTCCGTTATCGAACGCACTTCTGCTAATTGCTCATCGTATGCATCACTATTGTCCACTCTTGATCCATTACCATCAATCTGCAATAATGACTGTGTGACGTTACAATGTATCTCATTCGGATGCACCACTCTACAGATGTAGAGTGAATAAAATCTGTGTTGATGATTCAGTTTGAAAAACTCACGATTCATCATCAAACACACTTTGTATGTTATGAAGTATCATTACTAAACTCACACCTTGGCACTTCTTTGTAAAACCATCGCTTTTACGAGATGACACTAAAGCAACAAGAAAGGGCAGCAATCCCATACTATGAGACTTAAGAACAGAAAAGGATAATTGAAAGTCGCTTCAGAGTTAATTCAGTACTTCAGTATAAATCATGAGTATTCACATCAATGCAAATAAGAAAGCATACGGTGATAGCCATGCGACTCAGATATCGCGTAGCTCACAATCATGCAACCTAGAAAAATTTATCAACGCGATACTGAAGTGACATTGAACAAGAAAAGAATTTCACTCGAGCAGAAGTAGTGAAAATTGATGCGGAAGATAACTGGAACGTGTAAAAAGGCAAAATTTTTTTGAAATGTCATTCGAAGTATTGAATGAAAAATGATAACATCGATGTGAACGATAATAGTTTAATGAAATAAATACATTTTTTGTTTGGATCATTTGATTTCGCCATTCAGAATAACTCCTCGGACGTTTTTGTTGTTGATTCTCAATGATCGTATACGATGATTCTGTTGAGAATTGATCGTCATCACATCTCACGTTTTGTCTATTTATCACATCGTTACTGACTACAGATGAGTGCAACGATACACTTGGACTGGCTGGTGGAATTTCATTCGAATATTCATGCCTTCTTTAAATAGAGTTGTTGTTTACTCAACGCTATTTCAAATGTTCTATCTTTTCTCACAAGTAACCAATCTCTTCTGAGGATAACGTCTTATTTATAGGGTTTCAGCATCGAGTGGTTGTTTTGAAGTGAACTGTTATATAGCAAGTTATTCTCGATGTAAAGTGCTGTAAATATCATTTCTGAATTACCTACCGTTCAGTATTAGTTGTTTGACTGATGACATTACTGCGATTGCGATTATTCAGCATTCCATTATTACCTGCCCACCATGAGCGACTAGCTGTTCCATAATTACTTACTGCTTTATCTAAAGTTGAAGAATTTCAGAGAAGAACGAACTTTCCGATCAAACGTTACTTATTTAATTGATTTGTAAGATGGTGAAACAGGTGCGATGAAAGTTTTTAAGCAGTACTGACAAGAATGCGCACGAAATGGCATTTCTATCAGGTTTGCGGTTATGATGCTGAAATAGCGAAGGACGAGGACGGGCCAGAAGAGTGATTCAAAAGGGTTGTTTTCATTCACTACTGTCGATTGATTTGATCTATCAATGTGTTCACTTGCGAGTCTCGCTGATGATGTGAACGTTGCACGAAGCTATGGTACCGATTACTTTCGAGATGAAAGTTATTTGAAAAATCGGATTTTCTCATTAAATGTAATCAGTTTGAAATATTGCAAAAGAGGAAAGACGGTTGATGATGCAAGAAGATAATAACCACTTAAAATTCAAGCAAATCTTTTCAGGTTGTTGATCGCGTTTGGTGCGAAGGTGCCATGAGCTAGAGCAGTTGTTTGTTTGATGCATTATTTGCGTTTATTTGTGAGCGATAACGGGAAACGAAAGCAGTGATTATTGGAAAGCAATGAGGAGAGATTATGATTGCTTGATGAAAAGCGCAATTAAAACAACAAACCAATATGTTCTACAGTTGTTCGATTATAGATACTTTGTTTGTTATTCGTGCCAATTTTGACGCAAATAAGCCAGATAATAGATATGGCAAGAATAAATATTATGGAAGCAATAATGCAAATTATTGCTATCCAACTAATTGGCCATGTTTCCTCATTGAAGTCATTCATTATTGAAATATTACTTTCTTTTTGTGATTGAGTGAACAGTTCATCCGGTGGTGTTTCTGCTCGAACATCACTTAAATATTATTATTACTACTTTTATTTATAATTTTCTTTACCAAAATCAAAATAAAACTACTCATAAATCGCATTGATATACACCAAATCATAAATCGCATTGATATACACCATATTGGAAGTTTTAATCGGTTTTTTTAATCCTAATAATCTTCTTTGACATGAATCAGCTAATAACAAAGAACATTGAGTTGATTTGACCATCAAAGTAATTCGATATGGAACAAATATGTCAAGCGATTTCTGTTGAATAAAATTGTCGGCAGCGTGAAAAATGAATTGATAATGTTGAATTTTCTGATCGGTTTTAAACGCTGCGATGGAATAAGCCGTATTTGTTGATAAGTTCCACATGAGTTATGGTCTCTTGCGCTCCGATTAAATAAGATTGTCAGTCGAGTATGATCACGCTGCGTTCGATTTGCATGCGAAGCCGCAACGAAGCACGCTAACTATCGGACACTACCGAAAACGATGCAAATGATAAGCAAATGAACGAATGAAATGAGTGAAAACTCATACTTAATAGTGACCGCAGTAAATGATGGATGTACAGTGGGATTTAGCAGTTGATTAACATGAGGTATACCATAAATACATTTGATGATCATATTGTCATCTCCTTTGAGAACAATTGATGGATTTTGTGCAATACGAATTTTGTTTTGAAACACTCCTGGTGAAGGCTGAAAAAAATTGATTTCCTGCCTATGTTTGTGAAATTTATAATTAGATACTCCACAAAGCATAGTGTGACTGGAGCTTGCTACCATCAGTGGCATTGCTGCATCATTCGGTTTCGAGCGAAACCTTGTCTCGCGAGTGCAAATCAAACACATTTCACGCCAATTTCCGATTGGGTGATTGTAAACTCAACACAACCATTCAGTAGAAGCTGAACGATCTGCAGTAGCCCAGAAACAAAATACCCAATCGGAAATTGGTACGTTTCGGGTTCATGCCCTGCTCTTAGGGGAAGGCTTTGCTCGAAACCGAATGGTCACTGATGTTTGTGCAATTTAAATTTATGTGGTATTTGTGGCTTTCGATGAACGGATCATATGATTGCTAATTTATTAATACTCTACATTACAACTATTTCTTATATGGAGTATTCAGTAGTTATGAGCAAGATTCAAGAGGACACCGTGCAGGCACAATATTCCCTAGATAGTCATTTGCTTCAGATGCAACGAAAACATTTTGCAATTATAATAATAGCGAGCGTGCATTCTTCAAATGCGTTATCAACGAAACAATAAGGAATTTGTAGCAAAACGTGTTGTCGACATTACCATTTGTGTACCACAAGTATCGTTGAAAACGGCGATTTCAATCACATAATCCAATTCGCCATTTCCTTTCAAACGACATTCAGCTCGATTGTTCGTTCCAACAACAATCCAATCGTCAAATCGGCCATTTTTGGCAAACACTTCATTAAACGATAAATGAATCTTTATCACTTGATTACCACATGCTGGTATCACTTCAAAATTAATCAATTGTCATAATAAAAGAGAGTAGTTACAATAATGAAATAATCTATTCGTTAAATACGTTCCATATTAATTTCGATTCGATTCGCTTAGTTTTCAGCTTCATAGAGCACACTCACAAAATGATCAAAAATTAGTTTCAAATACAATTTGATCGAATGATGTTCATATTCAAACTGAGTACAACTCACCGGTGAATTTTTTCGGATTTTCAAGTTGTGAACTGATATATGGAATTGAACAAATCAATAAATACACAATTATCAAATTGGAGATCATCTTTGACGGGTTATAATCAATGATATCATCCATTATTAGCTAATTTGAAACTCAACGCAGATTCAGTTTATAATTTGTTATCAGGTAATTATTCGATAGTGCCATCAGTAGTTTATCTGCATTCAAAAGATGAACCGAAGTGTAAAGGTTACACTGATCCAATCAGAAATCAAATATTTTTCAGCCCGTGAAAAGTCAACTAGCTTTCCCAAGTGGGTTACTAATTGTTATCATTCGACGGGTAATTCGAATCTACTTTCGAACACGATTGAAAATAATCTTCCCGACTAGTAATCGCAAACGTGAAGAAGCGTTAATTAATTAATACACCGCGAACATCAATACGTTTATCAATATTTACACACATTCGGTTACATATCTGCTATAAGGAAATACAAATAAATGAAGCGCATATAAAGTAGTGGTGATGATAGTAATCAAAATGTCAATATGTGACGATATGTGTAAAGAAAAGTAATAGTTTGAATGCGAGTCAGAAATAAAGATCAAAAGAAAATCGAAATAAATAAGATGATCTGTTCTGAGTACGGAGTATTGCAGACTTGTTGTGAATAAATAATGACAATAACGTTAATAACACCAACTAAAAGGCCATCCCAAATTACATATCCATTTTCTTTGCGCATCACCTAATTATCTTCTTGAAATGGCTCCTACCTATTGTTATATGACTACTTCAAAGATACATATTATTTTAGTTCATGGCTATTATACCAACTTAAATTTATATTTTATGGTTTCTGAATGATTTCAAATACTTGAATGCGGTTCATTGTTATCAGCCTACTTCTCTTTCATTTCAAGTTCAAGTATTAGCTGCTTGAAATGTTTCATTGATGGGAAGTTCATCGTAACATTTAAATAATTTCAATCCGTCTAAATCAAAAATGTTACTAAAAAATTCAACTTCATTGAAATTCACCTTCAAATTTGATGTACAATGTTCAGGAATTATACGGGCACCGAATTCACTACATTTTCAGAACACTCGACTATCTTCCAGATCGAAAACAGTCAAATAGAGACACCACTAGAAAGTTGATTTGTTATAAACCAGAAAACGAAATGCATAGAGCTGTATATATAGGTGGATGTGAATACGAATTAATAGGTATTATAAAGCGATCAAAGTTGGTTTGAATGTTCGATATTTCGGTCATTGAGCATTGAACCGGTACTATAATCATCACACACCCTGAATATTTGCATGGCATTCTACTTAATAATAGAAATAGCAATAAGTACTGCAGATCGTATTCTTTTCAAATACATTCGAGCAATTTATGCGAGCTTTGTTAATCTAAAAGCCTACTCACAATTTAGTGGTTATTATTCTTCAATTGTGAAATTCGATTCGTCGCAGATTCTGAATAACGATCGAATAACAGCGAGTGAAGAATATTCATAAATGCAGGCTAATTACACCTATAACAATGTGCTCTGTGTTTATGGTTCAAACTTTTGAATAGTTTGCATGATTAAAATAATGAATTCATGATACCACCATTCGTATCAGAACGATCACTTCAAATAGCACTTCACGAGTAGTGCTTTGGTCGAAGAAATTGTTTACAAGAGGTGTGGAAATGCAGTGGAGTAGTGTGTAAGTGTTGGTGTACGCTTTTAAGCATGTTTAGTTAATATTGAACGTATCACAAAAGAAATTGTGATTGTTATAAGTTTTCATTTCAGGTAATGATTGGGTCTTTGAAATAGACTCTCACTTGAAATTAAGGAGGTTATTTATTTGTTGAAACTGTAGTGTTCTCTTCAAGCAATACTTCATTGTGTGTCGAAATAGAATTATAGCACTGTTGATGCACGTATGCAGGCAAACGACCTTGAGGTTTGTACTCATTAAAGGATAACGAAGGATAATTATATTACTGACTCGAATCAAATCAATATTTTATATCGCTAATTGTGCTAAAGCCAGATGAGTGACGAAGACTTGTTGTAGGATTGCAGTCATGGAAATGAGATTTCAGTTCCATTGTGAAAGAGCAGATGGATATTTTGGAGATGATCATCTCGAAAATTATTTCATGTAAAACTGGAAATGTGAACCGTGAGTCATTCTCTTCTTCATATAGGATAATTGAAACATCCGACGGTAATGCACATCGCTTTCGGGGATGCACAGTATTAGGGACGATAGCGCGTATTACAAGATGTTTGATTAGAGATTTCAATTTGACTGGTAGATCGAACGAGTGTTCAAAATTTTGATGAAGTAATATTGGAATGTTGATCAATTCGATCATTAATTACGGCGCAAATATTACCTTTACAAATCGTAGATAAACGAACTCACTACTCAGTTATATTAGTGTGCATCTGCTAAGCAGAAGCAAGTGGTAATATTGAGTCTGAGACTCTGCAACATTATCCACTGAGATTTTCGTATGTGTTCTGAGGAGGACAATTCTGCCCTCAGCCGAAGGTGGACACCGAGCAAAGTGTCCGTTTTCGATTGAGGGTGCCTTGGTTGGGGCAAACAGTTTACCCTCAACTGGGGGCAAGCGCTCTCAGTTTGTCCACCTTGAATGGTATCGAGAGTAGTACGCTCACTTTTAATTGAGTGTCGACGCCTTATCTATCCTCGGCCCAGCGGTCCTGAACCCATTCCTAGGCAGCCTTTTTCATCCAGGTAACTCCTCCTCTTATAAAGGATTCCTTTTCCTTCTAAGGTAAATTCTACTCTTTCTCGAAGGAGCCCCTTCCTTCTCGGGTGAACCTCCTCTCAACTTTCTTGAGAACCCTTGCCTTTTCGGGTAACTCTCAAGTGAACGCTCCCCCTCTCTCAATTGAACTCTCCCCCTATCGGGTGGACACTCCCCCCTCTCGGGTATAC